CAATAAACATTGTAAAGATAATTTGAGGAATTGTCCAAGGACTAACTAGTTATTGTTTTCACCACATAGAGTTTTGTTTTTGTGTTTTGTTGTTTTTTTCCACTGCAGATAAAAGATAACTTTGCACATTTTTCTAAGATATTTCTATTTCATTCAAGTAAAATCAGGCACAGCAGAGAACTGACTTATTTTCTGAAGGCTAGAGTAACAGCAGTCTATCTTGTGATTGGACTCCAGCTACTCATCATGAATGTCCTGGACAAAGGAATTGAAAAGGTCATCTTCTATTAGTAAGAGTGGTCATGTGAACCATCCACATAATTATCTGAGCCCTTGACTTCAGTTACTCTACAGGAGGGTCTGATACACTGTATTTCTATCATTCCTCATTCTTTTTTTTAAGACCTATGGAGCAGGATTGGCTGAAATCACCAGTCTTCAAATCTCAGTTTATCAGAGTCACCTGTTGAGCTCATTAAAATACTAATTTGTAAGCCCCACACTTAGAAATTTTAATTTGTTTGATCTGTGTTGGAGGTAATTGACTGAAAACACTTTAAGATATATTGGAATGGGTAATCACCAAAAAGCATTTCAGTTTCTTGATTTTAAAACTTATTTCTGAGATAAGTTGAAATAATTCATCTTTAAATGTGTTTCTAAACCTATAGATCACATGTTCTCTATTATGTCTCCTAGGCTTTGTTCAGGTCTCGTAGCTCATTTTAGTTGGTGTCATTCTCCATAGGCTCTAGACTTAGAATCTGAGTTCTAGTTCTTCCACCAGGATAGCCCCCTAAATTATTAGTAGATCTAAAACCATGGTCCTCTTCCTCAGTAAGCTAGTGCTGGCCAAACATCGAGAGTGGACAGACCCTTCTCCCTGTGTTTACCTCAAGGTAGGGAGTTGAGAATTAATTCATATAATATTCAACAGTATTTGAAGCCCAATTTATGACTAAATGGTGCTTTGATAGTTGTTTGTCATTGTTATTTCTCAGGTTTTGGTTGTGTACATCTTATTTTAGCATAACCTATTTCAAACTTTGAGGGCAAGTGATGAAAAACAAAATTAGAAAATGATTCCTTTTTTAATAAAATGTATCTCTGATGTGTATCCTTAACCCTGGATTTTCTCAGAAAGAGTAAAATTATCAGTATCTCAGATTGGTAGCAGAGCTGTCAAGGACATTTTCTTCTGGGCATTTCTGCTTACTTTTTATTTCTTCTCTTCAAATAGTGTAGGGAATGTGACAGCTCTACCTTAGTTTCCTGTGTCTGCAAGCCCTCGGGGCATATGTACCAAGAACTACTTTTTGGTACACTTAAACAAAAATATCTATTTGTTACTTGCTCTAAAAAACAAAATTCAAGAACCCTCAGAATATATCAAAAAAAATGTGTTTTTCAGCTTGTATGTAATTTATTTATTTCTTTATTTTTATTAAATCATAGCTGTGTACATTAATGTAGTCATGTGGTACAGTGTGCTGGTTTTATATACAGTTTGAAATATTTTCACCAAACTGGTTAACATAGCCTTCATGGCATTTTCTTATTGTGTTAAGACATTTATATTCTGCATTTAGAAAGATTCACATGTACCCTTGTAAGATGGACCATAGGTGTGGTCCTACCAGTCACCCTTAGGTGTAATATTTTGGCAATCCAATGACCAATAGATGTCTAAGTGAAAATACTTGTTAGTTTAAACCAACTGTTAAATGGATCAAGCTCGGATGTGCGTACACAATTTCAGATATGTGTAACACAGGACACCAGCAAAAGTGTAGCTCTAATATAATAAGTCCTTTGTCATTGTAAAGTTATTATTCAGTTATTTAGCAATGTTGAAGGAGAATCCCAGAGAAGATAGACAAAGGAGACATTTAGAATAATAATAATAAAGTTATTTATTCCAAAAAATCAGATTTTTCTGCTGAAGTTTATTAACCTATAACCTATCTTAAAGAGTGAAATACTAAAGTTTTATAAAACATTTTTAAAAGATTGATATCTATTTTGTACTTCATTTACAAAAAAAAAAATAAGAGCTGTTGTGTGCTAAATAATACTATATTTTTTTTTCAAAAGAATCATTCCCTAAAGTAAAATGTTGGAAGGCATTATTGTAGAGCAATCAAAGATTTGATTGCTTTGCAATTAATTATTTATAAAATAAGGGACATAATGTAGCACCGAAGTTTTAGAATGAGGTAGATACCACAGAGTATTAAAGTTTCTGATAATTAAGGGAAAATGTGTTACCTGATAGTCTAAGAATTATTATAAACAAAATACATGTTTTTGTATTATTTAAAATACTAATAGTGTATGTTTTGGTTAGGATAGGTTGCTCTTTTTTTTTTTAATTCCAACATAAATTAATTTAGTAGTAAGTACAGTTGCTGTCACCTATAATGACATAAATTCCAACATAAATTAATTTATTGGTAAGTACAGTTGCTGTCACTCTGGGTGGCCAAGACAGATGGATTACTGAGATTAGGAGTTCCAGACTAACCTGAGCAAGATAGAGACCTTGTCTCTAATAAAAATAAAAAAAAATTAGCCACACTTGGTGCTGCGTGCTTGTAGTCCCAGCTACTCGGGGGCTGAGGCAGGAAGAAGATGCCTTGAGCCCAGGAGTTTGAGGTTGCATGAACTATGATGATGCGCTTTCACACCAACCTGAGTGACAGAGCAAAAATCTGTTTCAAAAAAAATTAATTTATTATGTAAATCCTTTTTTTTTTTTTTTTGAGACAGAGTCTTACTTTGTTGCTCTAGGTAGAGTGTTATGGCATCATAATTCACAGCAACCTCAAACTCCTGGGCTTAAAGGATTCTCTTGCCTCAGCCTCCTGAGTAGCTGAGACTACAGGCACCCACTACAACACCTGGCTGTTTTTAGAGATAAGGTCTCACTCTGGCTCAAGCTGGTCTTGAACCTGTGAGCTCAGGCAATCCACCTGCCTCACCTCCCCAGTGCTGGGGTTACAGGCATGAGCCACAGCACCTGGCAGTAGATCCTTATATAAGGAACAATCATGTAACAAAAATCAATCTGTCTATAGTAATTTTACAGATTTGGAGGCTGCCTGTGGGCAAGTCCAAATGTTTTCTTACACACACGCACAAATGTAATTTGTTTAATTATCTAGACAGATACTCTAATAAACCCCAAAGTTGTGAAGCATAGAGCTTTACAGTATTAGACCTGGGAAATTAGGAAGGCAGATGTGTTTAACTCTCAATGCAATAGAAATGTCGTTATTGGTGTTGTAATTAATCGTCTAGAAATCTGGTGAGTAATAACAGTGATGACTGACAGCCTATTCATTAGCTACAAAATGAGTTCCCAAGAGCCAACATTAATATTATATCAGAAAAATAATTTTCTTCTAAATACTTGAAAATTGAATTGTATCTCAAATCATGAGTTGACTTTTGCCCTGTTTTGTGCTGACCTCACTGTTTCTTTATGTTCTTTCTTCAGTTCTTTTTGTAGCTGTTGTTCTTCCTTCTACAATTTTCTTTGCTTCCCATTTCTTCTCTTGCATCTGTTTCTCAACTAGAATTAGCAAAGAGATAGGGTTAATTGTAAAACTCATAATTCGTGGACCTGAAACCTTTTAATTAATTTGGAAGAGAGTACTTTTTCTTCTGCAATATTAAACACATACGCCTTACATCTACCTGGAAACAAAACTGAAGAATTTTATGTATGCCAAATAGACCAGAAACTAATCCATATACTGTTTCAACTTTGAATTTAATGTGCAAAACTGTTTTATTCTGATTATAGCAGTTTATTATGCTGATAGGTGAGCAATCTGATCATTGCCAAGTCTTAAAATTTCGCTCATATCATTGGAGTGAGAGGTTAATGAAAGATCAACAGACACTATAGAATCTTATATTTTCATCATTATCCGTCAGTGAAATGAAGCTGAATGTAGCAGTGATTAGTGGTTTAGAAGTTGATATGAAAGCAGACATACGATTGCCAAGGATTAGAACAGGAGAACCAAATCTGAAGTTTATTGAGGGAAAACCTGAAATTTCAAGGACTGGCAGTTTAGTTTCAGAAGAAGAAATAAATTTGTCCTTGGAGAACTCTCAGATATCAAGATGGAATTATTTTACACGAACAGCAGCAAGGATTAAAACTCACCACTCGGGTTCATGACCAACATTTCTGGTGGCACAAGATTTGTCTCTTGCCTTTGTTTTCAACTGTTTATCTTAATTGGCAAGAACCCTGGGGAGCTGTAATGTGTCACATAATAGTCATGATATGATAAAGTCATTGAAATAGGATTTCTTATATTTCTTTTGTAAAAATCCCTGTTATGGGTAATAGCATTCTCGTTCATATTGACGTTCCTGTGTAGTCCTAGCAGATAAAATTCCCATTGCAATATATTTTAAATTCCAAGTCAACATCTTAGTTTCCTTGCTCTCATTATCAGGCTTTTCAGGGAAGAAGGAAAAAGAGTTCAGGGAACCTCTCAGCTTGCTTTACCAAACCAGAGGTCGTGTAGGGAATGCCCCACTGTGTGGCAGTCAGAAGCAGTTATGATCTGTGATCTTTTGCTATTTAGAGACAGAAAAGTCTTTCCCATTACACAGTAGGAAAGGAATGTTAAAATTCCTGGTACCTCACAAGTTATTTTTTTAACATCGATTTGGGGAGTATTTCCTTTCTTTCCCCCTTTTTTTGTAGCTTTTTTATTATATTTAAGTCTACATTTTTCAAAATGGATCAGGTAAAAATAATATTATACTGGGAAGACGAAATTAAAGAAGATAAGCCTGTGATCTTTTCAACAAGGGAGATAATGTGGCCCGAAAACTTTGATTAGAAATCTAAGTGACATTTATCATCCTATGGATGGTATTTTAATAGTATCATGTTGTGATTATAAATGAATGTGACCCAATAGTGTCAATTTGTTCAAGAGCCGTTTCCTGAGAGCATGGGCAATCTTTTCAAGTTGCATTTTCTGTCAAAGTGGCTTTGTCAGAGCAATGCTGATTCTAGCTTGAAATTTCCTAAAATGATCATCACTTACTAGTGAGACTCTGTACATTGCAAAAGCTCAGCAAATTAGAAAGTAATATATGATGTTACTTTCATAATATGCATAGTTTCTTAAGGAGTATTGTTCTGAATCGTTTTATCAGGTAATTAAGTGTTGTTGTTATAGGTAATAAATTAGATTTGTTTGTGCCTCTGCTATTAAAGTGAAATCAATGTAGCTAGCCAGCTCTTTTCATCTGCAAAATTAGTTTTTATTGATTAATTTTTTTAAAAAAGAATCCAAGATTCTAAAACACTAAGGAATTCACTTTTTAAAAAATTTCTGGTCTCTCGCAAATGATCTTACTATTTTAAGTGGATGGTATCACCAAGTAGAGCTTTTCACTCGTAGGTGTTGGTTTGTGAGGTTCAGCATGAAGATTTTTGGTCATTAAGAAATCTGTTCCAGAGCGTCCTGTGGTGGGAGTCGGGGGAGATGGAGAAAGCCAGATTTAGCTGAGAGTTGTGGATGCACATTTTTTAATTTACTTTGAATATCTAGTGGCTGGAACTCCCAGAGATAAACATGGGCTGAAGTACAAACCTAAATATTTTCCAGATACTCTTGGAGATGTGAATAAACATGGCATCAGAAGAAGGGTTCTGTGGCCAATTGGTTTGGGATGCTTTGCACGTCACTGCCTCTGCCTGAGATTCAGATGTCAAGTGGCATAGCAAATGCTCCAGAAGGTTCACAGTATACACACCCATGCAGCTTAGTGTCTCTCAAGTGCATTTGAACATTTTACCTCTGTGGGCTTTCTACTAAAATGCGTAACACAAAACTAACCTTAAAAAAGAAAACAAACAAATTTTAATAAACAAGTACCCTATGATAGAGGAAAACTAAATGGAATATAGTATCCTGGATGGCACCCTGCAACCAAAAAGACAGGTGAAACTAAGATCATGTCTATAGTCTGTGGACGTTAGTTAATAATACATCAATGTTAGCTCATTAATTATAATAAATGTGCCATACTAATGTACGATGTTCAAAATACGGGAAATTGTGTGTAGGAGGTTTGTAGGCATTCTCTGTGGTCTGTGCTTAGCTTTTCTGTAACTCTAAAGCTGTTCTAAAAGTATAAAGCCTATTAATAAAAAAGGCTACATTTAAAGAAGATGCTTCTTTTTATTTACAGTTTTCACTCTCTATACAAAATAGTCTGGGCCACAGGACAACATGGACATTTTAATTAAGCTATTCTGGTAAAGGAGAAGTTAAGAAAATCCAGGCAGAATCAATGCCTGTAGCTCAGTGAGTAGGGCATCGGCCACCTAAACAACAATGACAGCTGTAACCAAAAAATAGCCAGGCCTTGTGGCGGGCGTCTGTAGTCCCAGCTACTTGGGAGGCTGAGGCAACAGAATCACTTAAGTCCAAGAGTTGAGGTTGCTATGAGCTGTGAAGCTACAGCACTCTACTGAGGATGACATAGTGATACTTTGTCTCAAAAAAAAAAAGAAGGAAAGAAAAAGAAAATCAAGGCTTATAAAGATGAGAATACTGAAAGAGGCAGTAGGCAAGAGCCCATCAATACAATGTTGCGATCCAGAGGTCACGAATTGAATCTAAAGGATTCCTTAGATCTTTAGACAGATGCAGAGGGTGGGGACCTGCCACCTCAAAGCTGCATGCGGTGCCCCAGATCCTCAAGTGCAGCCCCTCAACAGAATCCAGACTTCACAGAACAACTCTCTTTATGAAAAGGGTTGTTCCATAAAATATACATTCAGTAAAAGGCCACACTCAAGGATCCAGAAGGACATGTAGCCCCCGATCTCCAGGTTCCCCACCACTTCCCAGGAGACAGTGTCAGAGGGACATGTGGCCCCGAGTCCCCAGGTTCCACACCACTGCCCGGGAGACAATGTCAGAGGGACATGTGGCCCCCGAGTCTCCAAGTTCCACACCACTGCCTGGGAGACAATGTCAGAGTGTAGAACATTATAAAATCATTGTTATAAAGATGTAGCTAATTTTTCAGATAGACACATGGAAAGATTAACTCTGAAGATGTGCTTGTCCCATTAAGTTCCCATGTCAAGTACATTTTCCAGACCTCTCTTGGGATATTTTATTCAATCCTAAACAATATTATCTAGGGACAGATTTGCAAGTAATCATGAACTTACTAAGTTTTCAGGCTCATGTTTCTATGCTAATAATTCCAGAAAAACTTCTTAAAATGTTTAATACATGTAATGATTGCTGCTATGATGACTGGTGGTGCAATTATAAAAACAATAACAAATGGAGTGCCTACTATTTATTGCGCACCAGGGTCTAAGTTGAGCTCTTACTATGTTTAAACTTGATAACCAAGTAATGAACTATAGACATTGCCCTCCCTGGACAGATGAGAAAACTCTTACACGCACACAGTTCTTTGCACATAGGTGGTATTGTAGGGATGCTCCCTGATGTATTCATAAGCCCTTCAATCTATGTTTTAAAAGCTAAACTTCCCACATCCTGTTTAAATATGTTTTTAGGGAAGAAAAACAGAACCCTTTGAGGAAGCAGGATGGGGGAAGTTCGGTACTGCAGACAAATTAGTTCAAATGAATTAACCCAGGTAGCTCTTCCTACTATGAAGGGAAAACAGAGGAAGCTGAGGGGGTCATTAAAATTCAGTAAAAAACAGATACTTTTCAGTTATCTGGTAGGAGACCATCCTGTCTTAAGAGTTTATTTATAAATGTCTCTGAAAGAGCTTGGTAGTCAGAAGTGGATTTGTCTTAATACAACTTCTGTTTGTTTGGAGGTCTTTGCATGCATTACTTTTTGGAAAAGAGAAGATGTTCTTAGTCTCCATCAAAGACAGTCATTGCCTTTGTCCTCACTCTTACTGGGACAATAAGCCACAGATGGAGCTGTTGCTGCCAGCAACTTTCTAGAATTGAGTGGTGAATCACCTCTTGTCAATTGTCTCTCTCAGCTTAGTAGCACCAGTTTAGAAGAGAAGGTCATGATTATCATCCATTCATTTAACACGTCTGGAACGCCTCCTCCGGGACTGATTCATTCTTGGCTATAATTTATAGCTTTCTGATATATGACAATAATTCAAGTTTTTCAGATTTTATTTGACTTAGCTGTGAAATAATGCCATAATGTAGACCTAATGCTATACTTTTATGCTTTCTTTTGTTAAGATTTATATTAATAGAAAATATCATTCCCTCTTAATCTGTAGATAAGGTTCAGGAAAATATCTTGAAAAATTAAGTTAGAACGGTCTTCATTTTACTTCACAGTGTGACTTGAATTGAACATCTTTGAAACTGAAAGGGCTAACATTTTGGCCATTATCTTTTTTATGTTTCACTGCGACTCCTGTTTTTAAGAAAGTATATGGAACAATTATCCATGGAATTCTCCCTCTGTCATTCTTTTTTTCAGCTTTTTCTAACCATTTTTCTCATACTGAAGATTTTCCACATGTAGAAGGATTCCTTAACTATATCGTATAATCACCATATGTCAATGAAAGTTAATTAAGATGTGCACTTAAATGCCAAATACTAGTTTTTGTTTTTAAAAAGAGGGTAGACATAGAGTGATGATGATTTTATATTAAGAGAATAAATATTCAAAAAACAGTCTGTAAAAACCAAAGAGTAGCTCTGGATATTAAACCTATGTTATTATACATGTTTCTTTGACCACAGAAAGCTACTGGATGTACTACAAATTCCTTCTATTTTGTTACTACTACTATCAGATTAAATTTCCCCTAAGTTTGATGGCTACTATTTTTTCCTCTTTCAATCACAGGAGAAATTACAAAGCATTGAAGAATGGCCGATGAACGGAAAGATGAAGCCAAGGCGCCTCACTGGGCCTCAGCTCAGCTAACAGAGGCCTCTGCACATCCACATCAACCTGAGATTAAGGATCAAGGCGGGGCGGGGGAAGGATTTGTCCGAAGTGCCAATGGATTCCCATATAGGGAGGATGAAGACGGCGCCTTTGGAGAGCATGGGTCACAGGGCACCTATTCAAATACCAAAGAGAATGGGATCAACGGAGAGCTGACCTCAGCAGACAGAGAAACAGCAGGTAACTAATGGCTCTGCTGTCACCCACGCTTGCTTTGTGCTTTAAAGTTAGTTAGTCTGAAAGTGAGTTACTTTATAGCACTGATTCTCTTACAAGTGCTATGACTGAAATTCCAGTCAAATAAAGGAAATAAATCCCAAAAGAAGAGAAACAGTATAAGAGAAGTGGCTCATGCCTATAATACCAACACTTTGGGAGGCCAAGGCAGGAAGATCACGTGAGGCCAGGAGTTTAAGACCAGCCTGGACAACATAGCAAGACCCTACTAAAAAAGAATTTTTTTTTTTTAATTAGTGGGGTATAGTGGTAAGAACCTATAGTCCCAACTTCTCATGAGGCTAAGGCATGAGGATCGCTTGAGCCCAGAAATTTGAGGTTGCAGTAAGCTATGATTGCACCACTACACTCTACTTTAGGTGACAGAACAAGACCATATTTCAGGGAAAAAAAAAGAAAAAAAGAGAAACATTAGGGTAACTAGCCAGAAATTCCCCTAAATTAGTATAATCTCAATATCATTTCTCCATTTTATTTGTATCATGTTAATTTGTACAGACAAGTGACTCAGTTTATGTTTTGCTAGAAACTGTCAGTGTTTTAACTCATTGAAAGAAAACTTCACAAATAGTTCCTTTGTGGTTCACTTAAGTGGCCTTGGAGCTAAATCAATAGACTCATTAGAAGCATATTTACTTTTTAGAGCAGAAAGAAATGTAAAATTCATCTCCTCAGTCTTCCTCCCCAATAAAGAGAAGAGAGAAATAAAGAAAACAGCTATACTCTTATATACAGGAACTATTTCAACTCCCTCAGCTTTTTTCAAAAATAGTGTACACTTGCTTGAAGGAGAACATAATATAATTCACTCTTGAGCCCTTCTTCACAGTATGATTTCCACCAGTAGGCTCCTCTACCATCAGTAATATTATCATTAATACAGGATTAGTGGCATAGAGAAACATGATCCTGCATTATAGCATTATTTTTCTTTTTTCTATAATTCAGAATTTAGTGAATTTGAACTTGCAGATAGTTTCTTATCTGAAAAAGAGTAAGTGAATTACAAGTACTAAAAGAGGTTCTGTCCCCTTCAAAACTATCTTTTATTCAAAGATTACATTTCTCTACCCCATCAATTAGCAACATTTATCAGCAGTATACTCCATTTAAAAATTTATTTAAATTGGGTGATGCCTGTGGCTCAAAGGAGTAGGGCGCCAGCCCCATATACCAGAGGTGGTGGGTTCAAACCCAGCCACAGCCAAAAACTGCAAAAAAAAAAAAAAAAAAAAAATATATGTACATATATATATTTAAATTTTAGTAGGGAAATATGAAAGGCACTTCAAATAACAGAGGAGAAATCGCTTAAGTACATAGCATGGTTTTTTAAGAACTCATCATTCAACAAATTAGTGTTGTACGTTTTCTAGGTAAAAGGTATTATGTTAGCTTCTGGGCCAGAGTAGGGCAAGTTCATGCACACATGAACTTCACGGATCAAGATCATCTCAGAGAAGATGTGAGGCCTGTGCCTACAATTAAGTTGTATATGAAGCAAAATGTATACATGGCAAATGAGCAGTAGAAAAGGACAAAGTTGAAAGGGGATTATTTCTACATAGGGCCAAAGTTCCCAAATCGTGCATAGAAGCATCTTGGGGTGTCATAGCGAATTTATGGAGGTGTGGCAAGATGTTGTAAGTAGTGTGAGAAAACAGTAATACTCAATAGCTGTCAAATGCTGCATGGCCTGTGAGCTCCAGAGAGCTCACAGTTTCTTTGTTAGATCACACTATATTCCTTTTGAAGTTGTCATATGTTTTTAAAGTTGAGTTTTCAGCAGTCATTCTGATTAACAGCAAGTACCCTACAGAAATCCATTCAGAACAGAAAAAGAGTGTAGTAATGTCCAGTATGATTCAAGAATTTGAGGGGCTGTGCAGTGCATCCTGTCAATAGGAAATCATGGTTGAAAATGAAATAAAAACACTATTTTCACCTTTCAGGATTTCAATGAAAATTAAAATTAGGTGGTAAAGTGTATAAAGTGAATAGCTCAAGAAACAAGAGTTGTTAATTACCATTGTTATTATTATTTCTGGTGGTAGTGGTGGACACTACTATGGACAGTACAATAATGCTCTGATCAAATAATATTTTCTTTTTTTTTTTTTTAGAGTCTCACTTTATCGCCCTTGATAGAGTGCTGTGGCATTATAGCTCACAGCAACCTCCAGCTTAGGTGATTCTCTTGCCTCAGCCTCCCGAGTAGCTGGGACTACAGGCGCCCACCTCCACAATGCCTGGCTTTTTGTTGTTGTTGTTGCAGTTTGGCTGGGGTGGGGTTCGAACCTGCCACCCTCAGTATATGGGGCTGGCACCCTACTCACTGAGCCACAGGCGCTGCCCAATCACATGATATTTTTCTACAGCTGAGTTTAACAGAACTTGCAGAGGGTAGGATTTGGGTGTCAAGAGCATTAGCAGGACAATTTTGAAAAAATTGCAGCCTGGGGGGATGACACAAGTTATACTGGTTTGGGTGTGGGGAAGAAAACAGATGATATGCTAGGCTGCGATTTGTCTCATCATTATATCCTACAGCACCTGGCATTGCACCTTCAGAACTCAATAAACATGTATTGAGGGAGGGAGGGAACAAAGTGAATGAATGCAAAAAGAAAGTACTCTTCAAATGAATGGTCTTACTTTTTCCCTTGGACTCTTTCATCAGTTGATTCTCATTGACTATTTTGGAGGCTTTTGGTCAAGCAGCAGGGAATCAGCGTCATTCACTATTTCATTTGTTCAGTGGTCTTAATTAAGCATTTAAGAACATCAGAAAAATCTATTTGTCAGGTCACTGTGTTCTTGCCAAGTGCCTTGAGAAAATAATATAAATTTAAAAGAGAGATATTTCTTTTAAGTCATAGGTTCAAGAGCATCCAGAGTTAATTTTGAATTCAGCTCAACATATATCAAACAAATTTTATATTACCTTTGGGAGACTGATTACAAAAGCTTATGTGTATGTTCTTAGTGACGACAGTTGTAATCAACTGTGGGTTACCAGGGCGATGTATTCAGTCCAAACTATGGTGTGATTTTAAATTAAGTTCCCTCCAGAAATAACAGGCCGAGTATTGAAAGCCATAAAATAAGTATGTGTGGAAAGCTGTAGGAAAAGGGAAATGTAAAATTATCTCTGCGTCTCTACAGAGGATGCTCCAGTGATGAGTTAATGTGCAATTAAATTTCTCTCCAAACTCAAGTAAAATAATATAATAACTTATTTTGTATGGTTTGTTCAAAACTGTTTCACAAGTTACATAATGAAAATCATCTCCAGGAAAAGGAAATGTTCCTGAATCCCAAATCTGATCTTTAAAAATGCTCCCCTTTGATGATGCAGGCCATTGGTATGAGCTGGCAGTCAATTTTGATGTGATGATTTTAAAGGAGACCAGGGAGCTGTATACTAGCACATTCTTTTATGATCCACATATGATCTACCACTGTATTGCTTTTCTCCCCATCAGGGATCTTTCTAGGACATTATTAACAGAAAGCATGTTTCATGTATATCAGGCCCTCTGCTACATGTTGTGGGGTCCAGGTCATTACTGGTTAAATACAAAAAACTTCCTTCTACTTTCCTTTTTTGTTACGATCCTCTGTTCATTTTTAGAAGTGAATTCTTTCCCCCAGGCTGTATCGTTTTCATTCATCTTTATAAAAGGGATCACATGATAAATGAATTGCAGTCAATATCTCCCCCCCTTCCTTCCTTCATCAGAGTGGGCTGACTTCCACCATGGGTCTTAGCTTGTTCTCCCTCACGCACTCTTTCAGTGTTCACCTTCTTTTATGGGCCATAAAAATCATTTTTCAAAAGGCAAGCCTGGCCAGGTGCAATGGCTCACACCTGCAATTCTAGCACTCTGGGAGGCCAAGGGGCAGGTGGATCCCTTGAGCTTACATGTTTGAGACCAGCCTGAGCAAGATTAAGACCCCATCTCTACTAAAAATGAAAAACCAAGGCTAGAGGACTGCTTGATCCCAAGAGTTTGAGGTTGTTGTGAGCTATGTTGTCACAGCACTCTACCAAGGGCGACGAAGTGAGACTCTGTCTCAGAAAAATAACTTAATTAATTAGCTAATTAATTAAAGAAGCAAGCCTATAGTCAGCTTATTCTTGATGTCACACAATGAGCCGGGGGTGAGGGAATGGGAAATGTTAGAAGGCAATAATAATTTAAACTTTATTTCTTTATAGCTTACTCTTCTAGATTGTGTCTTTTTCCTTATAATTTAAGACTAGTCCATAGAAAGATAGACAGAATTGTTTTCTCAACAACAGCATAATTTTTTATTCTTTAAGGTTTTTTTAACCACTAAAATGTCCTTTCTAGAAGACATTCCACAGAAATAGGAAAAAAGAAATGTGAAACTATGAAGAATCTGGGCACTCAAGAAAGTTCTTATTATACTAAGACAAAACTATCATTTTAAAATTGTTTTCCAAAGCGTGAATATAAGAGTCATGGTTTATAATAATCCTTTCCTCTCTCTTTTACTTATCTTTATTAGAGAAAGAAGAATGAATCTTCATCCCCACCAAATTCGAACTCTGAGTTAGACTTTTGGAAAGAATTGAGAGGCATTAAGTTTCTTCTCCAGGGTTGGGGCCCAAACTCAGTGTTAGAATTTGTATCCAGATAGTACCTTGCAAGGGAACAAAAGGGATGATTTGTAAACTTAAACTATGAGTGAGGGACGGCACCTATGGCTCAACAGAGTAGGACGCTGGCCCTATATGCCGGAGGTGGTGGGTTCAAACCCAGCCCTGGGGAAAAAAAAAAAGAACTGTGAGTGAGAATTATTTTAGAAAATGAAAAATAAAAAAGTCACCTTCCAGTGGCACCTGTGGATCAAAGGAGTGGAGCACTGGCCCCATATGCCAAAGGTGGCAGGTTCAAAACCAGCCCCAACTAAAA